TGGATAAAGGTTGGAATCCTCCTTAGTTACCTCCCTCTTCTTTATTGTTTATGTCTAATTTTTTACCAAGTTCTTATAGTCATACCTATGAAATCTCTCAATATGTTTCCATCTCCATAGCATCTTTTACCTGGCCCTCTGCATTGTACTTATTACAGCTTTCATTGACTCTGGTCATTACTACCTTACGTTTCTCTTCCCACACTTTCATAAATAAGAATCCATCTGACAAGCCTGATTCACTGTCTCAAAATAAGACAAATGGACAGCTGCTTATCAGGCTTTTCAGTTACCAGACGGACTAACTTTCTACTTTTGAGTGACACATTCACATTTTTCATATTTGTCAATACAACCAAAGACAGATTTTTAAAGTCCAGGTGACACTCTTTAAATTGATAGACATAGCTCTTCTCTGACCTAATGTGTTTTCTTTTATCAATTCAATATATTTTTAATGTGTGCCTACCATTTGCCAGGATATAGGGATACACAGTGAATGTCAGAATTTAAGAAAACTGTGTGTAGTTAGGTTACCAGCAAGGGATTTGAACAGAATTATATATAAATTTATATTATATATAAATAATGCATAGATAAATTAAATATATTTATTTATATGTACATTTAACTTTACTATGTATTTCAAGTCAAAGGCAGAGATTGTCCAGCTGAGTTAAAAAGCAAGGATATAGTTTATGCCATCACAGGAATGCATTTTAAATTCAAACACTAAAACAGTTAGAAAATAAATGAAAGCAAAAATGCGCCAAACAGTAACATTTAAGAAAGCTGGACAAACAAAATTAATGTCAAACAAATACATCAGAGTTTTACTAGAGACAGAGATAGTTCACAAAGAGCAATCAATTCAATGATGATAAAATAAATCCCCTGTGTGTATGCACCCAAAGCTGAGTTTTAAGATACATACAGCAAAAAATAACAGAACTGGAAGAAAAGAGGCAAATACATAGAGTGGGAGAATTCAAAACTACTTTATCAATAAGTAGATGAAAAATCAGAAGGATGTGTATGTGAGTTCTATTAGGAAGCACTTTAACCTAACTGATATTTATAAAATGTATACTCAACAATTTATGGAAATTCACCAACACAGACCAAATGATACACCATAAAACAAATCACAACGCACGTGACATGAACAAAGTCTTAAAGTGTATGATCTCTGATCAAAAAAGAAATTAATTAGAAACAAACCATAAAACATTTAGATGAGCCCCAAATACTTGAATATTAAATGATTCACTTCTAACAACATATGGATGAAAGAAGACAGGACAAGGAAAATTAGGAAATATTCTAATAATGTCAAAATCTGTGTTTATCTAAAATGATGCAGAACAGGAAATTTAGAGTTTTAAGTGTTATATTAAAGAACAAAGTCTACAACCAATCACCTCGGTTCCTACTTTAGAAAACTAGAAAAGAGAAAACTAAACCTAGATTTCTTAAAAATCTTAAAAACTTTCACTCTTCAAAACATACCATTAAAAAAATTATTAAAAGAAACCATGCCATAGGAGGAAAATACTTGCAACATACATATTTAACAAAGGAATTGTATCTAGTAAATATATAGACCTGCAATCATCCCAATTTTTAAAATATCTGAAAAGGAAATTCACAAAGGAAGATATACAAATGGCTAATACGCAAAAATATACTCCATATCATTAGCGAAGAAATGAAAATTTTAAAAATGCAAACAGACTAAATACACACCTAAAAGGGCAAAGATCATTTTTAATGATCTGCTTACAAGAAATACAAACATAAGGACACAATGTTTGAAAACAAAAGAATGAAAAAGAAATAGCATGAAAGCTTTAACCACAATAAAGTGGACTTTAGGCAATAAGCATTACTACGAAGAGGATTTCAAGTTGATTAAAGGATCTAGCAATCTGATACAAAAAAGAAAACCAATTAACCTGTACAAAGCAAAAAGTAATACAGTAGGAGTTGAGAAATGGAAAATTCACAGCCAGTTTGTTAGAAACTAGCCAACCTTTTTTGATAACGGGAAAAAAAGCAGAGAAACGATTGATCAAAATGCAGATGATCTGAAACAACAGAATTAACGTATTGTTAATTAACAAGTTTGGCAAACTTGACAGATGCAGAACACTTCACCCACAATGACTGACTCTACTTTCAAAGTGTGAGCACACTTCTGCAGCCCAATATGACTTTTAACTGTAAAGTTTTCCAAGACATTTAAAATTGAAACATTTTAAAAAGATCACTAATCTCACACATATTCTTCCAGAGAGAAGAAAAACCTCCCAACTCATTTTATGAGCCCCAGCACAACCTTAGTCACAAAATATGAAAAGATAATAAAATTCCAAGCCAATATGACCTATGAAGATTCTAAATTTAAAAAAAAGCAAGTCAATTCTAGCAACATATTAAAAGAATATTATAATTGACAAATTGGGTTTATTTCTAAATAAAGTCCTAATATTTAAAAATATATATATAATTTGCCAAATTACAGATTAAAGCAGAAAAATTATATAACTATCAATTGAAAAAATACACTGATAAAATTTAATGCTGTTAGAATTTTTTTAAATCTTAGCATATTAAAAACAAGTGAAAACTTTTATCTAACAGCAAAAAACCAGATTAAAAAAATATATACAGGCATCAAAATTAATAGTAAAATAGTGAATGTTTTTCCCGATGATCAGGAAGAAACAAAGGTGCCCACCATGAGAAACAAGTTTCTGGCCATTGCAATAAGGAAAAGAAAAATGTAGTTTGGAAAGAAAGAAACCTATAATTCACACAAAAGACAACTACAATTATATAAAATCTAAAAGAATTTATATTAGACTTAAGTGAATTTAGCAATACAAGGCCAATTATAAAAATAAATTGTATTTCTCTAAGTTTATTTTTATGACACAGTATGATAAAATTAAAAAAATCAAATATTTAGCTGTAAAGTAAGAAAAGATTTATTAAGTCCTGTAAAGCAAAAGAAACTTCAAAAAATCACTGCCAGAAATTAGAAAATATTTAAATAAAAATACACATTTTTTAAAATGAGCATTTAAATAAACAAAAACATTATACATGGATTCAAAGACTCAATACTGCTGACACAAGTCTATTATCCCCAGATTGATCTATATTCAGTGTCCACAATTCCTGTTGTATGGTTATGTAATTGGATGAACTGATTCTGAAATTTACATGGAAGAGCAAATGACCAAAACTAGTCAAGTTAGTCTTACAGAACAACATTGGAGGACCGAAATTATCAGTTATCAAGATGAACTGCAAAGCTACAAAAATGCTGTGGTTTTGTCTCAAAGATAAATGACAGGCCAATGGAATAAAATAGGGCCTCTCAAACAGATATCCAGAGTGCCTCACACATTAATGATGTGTGTTTCTACACAGTAGAAGAAAAAAGATGAGTCGTCAATAAACAGTGCTGAGTCCATTAGCTATATATATGTGAAAAAAATTATCTTGATGTCTTCCTCATATCATACATAAAAAAAATAAATAAAGCTTTTGGAAATAAGACAGGACCTATTTATTCATAGGCAAATGCTTCTGAACCAGGACAAAAGAACACACAGCTAAAGCAGACATTTCATATACTATAGTATATTAGGAAATTATTTGGAAACCTCAATATAATTCTACTTATGCAACATTCACAGAAATGCTTTTATTTTTGTGAATGAGGAATTATCCTGATTTGTAAAATTAAATACATGAAACTCATAAGAAGTTCAAATAAGAGTAGTTTTAAATAGTTAGAAATTCTAATAGGAAGCTCAAGGGATATTCAAATACAATTTGAATTTACATGTAAAGTGGAATCGTTTTCATTCACTTTTAAAAACTGCAGTTTTATTTCTACTGTTAAAATGAACAATGCCCATTATCACAGGTCACTAAAATAGCAGCCACATATGAAATGCCATGTTACACAGACATGAAAGAGACCAACTTTAATCAGAATAAAGTCCCAAAGTTGCCCTCAGTGGCTAGCAAAAATAAGCCATCTGCTGCAACAAAAATAACCTGAAAGATAAGCCTGTTATTGTACTTTTTATTTAAATGGTAAACACTGAGTTTGTTCAGCTGAGATCATAGCTACAAAAGTACTTTCTCCAAGTGTGGAAAAACACATCATCTTAATATTCAAAAAGCCTCCTTCGGTGAGCAAAAAAATTTTTTTAAAAAAGAAGAGAGGTGGCCCTCCCTGGTGGCCCAGCGGGTTAAAGCACAGCACTAAGAAGCTTAAGCCACTTCCGCATGAGTTCCATTCCCGCCTGCCCTGGAGGAGATCCACATGGCGAGGCAGACCTCTCCTG